TATCAGAGCGTGGCTTCTTTTTTTCATTGTCAGTAACTAAGTATTTATATAATTACCAATAGCTTAAAAAAAATGCTTATGAAATTAATATTATAATAGTTTTGAGAGATGTTTAAAAACTACCTAGTAAGTTTTTTAAGTTGGCGTATTTAGGTTCCATTCTAGTAACACCTAAGAAGTGGGTATAAGCTAGCAATTAAATATGTAAAAGAGAAAATAAATTTAAATATTTAGAATATAATAATAATAATAATAATATAATATTCTACCACATACACACAACGCCATCTAGTCCCAAACTAAGCAGAGCTTGTACTATGGGTACTAGACAACTGATATAAATACATATATACTTTTTTTTTTTGTAAATACATACATATTATACATAGAAACACCCAGACCAAATCAAACATCAAATGTTCATGCACACAAATGTTTGACTTGAGCGGGAATCGAACCCGCGACCTTTGGAATAGCAGTCCGTTACACAAACCACTACGCCATCCGGTCGTCATTATAATATTTAAATTAATGATTAATATATAAATACAAATATATCAATATATAATATTATATAATATATAATATTTAAAGTAAAATTCATCATCGTCAGCCTTTAGTAGTCCACTGCTGGACCAAAATAGGGTTGAATTAGGGTTTGTGTCAGTACTTGCTTCGGCAGTACATATACTAAAATTGGAACGATACAGAGAAGATTAGCATGGCCCCTGCGCAAGGATGACACGCAAAATCGTGAAGCGTTCCACATTTTTAGACAAGGGCACTGGATATGTTGCCGTCGAGTGGGGGGGGATCACCATATATGGTGTCTATTTCTCCCCCAACCGGAGTTTGAACGACTTCGAGGTTTTCCTAACCAGTTTGGAGACCTCGATACGGCGACTAGCGTCTGGGCACGTCCTTGTGCTGGGGGACTTCAACGCAAAGTCCATTGCGTGGGGTTCCCCCAGGACGGACGCCAGGGGCGAGGCCGTAGAGGAGTGGGCGGCCTCGGTGGGCCTCTGTCTTCTAAACAGGGGCTCCACCAACACGTGCGTGCGACAGCAGGGGGGGTCGATAGTGGACCTCTCGTTCGCTACCCCTGCCCTCGCCGCACGAGTAAGGAACTGGCGTGTCCTGGAAGAGGTTGAGACGCTCTCGGATCACCTGTATATCCGATTTGAGCTCTCCCGGACCCAGGACTCCAGTAGGTGTCACGTGGCGCGGCGTTTATCCCGCTTGCCGCGGTGGGCTGTTGCCAGGCTGAACCGGGACCTACTAGAGGAGGCAGCCATAATTCACTCGTGGCTGTCTCCTCAGGCTCCGACCGAGGAGGTCGACGTGGGGGCTGGCCGCTTTCGCGATGCGATTACGCATGTATGCGATGCGGCCATGCCCCGCGTTCGAGGTCGTCGGCCTCCAAGGAAGGAGGTCTACTGGTGGTCCAGGAGCTGGCGGACCTCCGTGCGGCCTGTACACGTGCCCGGAGGTCCTACACGCGCAGTCGGCGGCGTCACCGTGGAGACGGTGAGGAGGACCGGCTTCATGAGGAGTACCGACGGGCGCGGAAAACTCTGAAGCTGGCCATTAGCCGCGCCAAAGAAGAAAAAAAGACAGGAGATGCTGGAGGGTCTTAATCGTGACCCCTGGGGTCGCCCTTACCGCGCGGTGCGACAAAAGCTCCGCGCGTCGGGCCCCCCCCTTACGGAGACTCTCCAGCCCAGCTTCCTGCGAGAAGTGGTTGAGGGCCTTTTCCCACAACGGGCGGAACACACTCCCCCGTCGATGGCCTCCTTGGCCGGAGACGACGGGGAGCACGGGGAGGATAATGTTCCGCCCGTCCGGGAATCGGAGGTAGGGGCGGCTGTTCTACGGATCCGTTCCAAGAACACCGCCCCTGGGCCAGACGGGGTACCGGCCCGAGTGCTGGCCCTGGCCCTCAACCACATGGCAGACCGCCTCGGGGAGGTGTTCGACGCTAGCTTGGCGTCGGGACGCTTCCCTGAGTGCTGGAAGAGCGGGAAGCTGGTCCTATTGAGGAAGCCGGGACGGCCTGCCGATTCGGTCGCGGCCTATAGGCCCATCGTGCTGCTGGACGAGGCGGGCAAATTGTTTGAGAGGGTTCTTTCTGCCCGCATCGTCCGGCACCTCTGCGAGGTGGGCCCCGATCTGTCGGACGCCCAATTTGGCTTCGGGCGGGGCGTTCGACGGTCGACGCCGTGTTGCGCCTGAGGGCCGTGACCGAAGAGGCCGTGAGCTGTGGCGGCGTGCTGTTGGCGGTGTCACTGGACATCGCCAACGCATTCAATAGTCTGCCATTCAGCTGCATCAGGGAAGCACTCCACTATCATGGGGTGCCAAAGTACCTGAGGCGGCTAGTGGCAGACTATTTAGAGGAGCGTACCGTCGTGTACGAGGACCGAGAAGGTAATTTGAGGTGTCGGCCCATGTCGTGCGGTGTTCCACAGGGGTCTGTTCTTGGACCCCTCTTGTGGAACATAGGGTACGACTGGGCCCTTCGCGCCGATTTCCCCCCCGGGCTGGGTGTAATCTGTTACGCAGACGATACCTTGGTGACAGCCCGGGGGGCAAACTTCCAAGAGGCGGCGCGCCTGGCCACAGGGGGAGTCTCCCTGGTGGTCGGGCGCATTGAGGCGCTGGGCTTACGGGTGGCCCTAGATAAGACGGAGGCCCTGTTATTTCATGGGCCCCGTCGTGGTCCACCCCCTGGCGCCTCCATCGTGGTCAACTCGGTCCTCGTACCGGTTCGGGCCCAGATGAAATATCTGGGCCTGATCCTCGACGGGAGGTGGCTCTTCGACGAGCACTTCCGACAGCTTGCTCCAAAGCTGGTCGGCGCTGCGTCTGCCCTAGGGCGACTTTTGCCCAATATGGGTGGACCCAGCGTCGCGACAAGACGGCTGTACACGGGGGTTGTCCGGTCAATGGCACTGTACGGTGCACCGGTGTGGGCGGCGGCTCTGACCGCCCAGAATAGGGTACGCCTCTGGCGCCCTCAGAGGGTAATGGCGGTCAGAGCCATACGCGGTTACCGCACCGTTTCGACGGAGGTGGCGTGCGCGTTGGCCGGAACTCCCCCGTGGGATTTGGAGGCGGAAGTGCTCGCCGAAGTTTATCGGCGAGTGGCTGACTACCGGGCGGAGAGCGGATTTCGCCCTCCGCCCGAGGATGTGCGCGAGTGGCGCGAAGCCGCTCGCCGAGCCACGATGGCTCGTTGGTCGTTCCGGCTGGAGACTCCACGCGCTGGCTTCGCCGCCGTGGAGGCTCTCCAGCCGGTCATCGCCGAGTGGGCAGGGCGGCAGCACGGGACCCTTTCCTTCCGGCTGACGCAGGTGCTTTCCGGGCACGGTTGCTTCGGAAAGTACCTGCACACGGTCGCTAGGAGGGAACTGAGTCCCGCCTGCCACCACTGCGACTGCAGTGAGGACTCGGCCCAGCACACGCTGGCGGTCTGCCCCGCATGGGCGGCGCAGCGCCGGGCCCTCACTGCAGTCATCGGAGTGGATCTCTCGCTACCGGCCGTAGTACGCTCCATGGCCGGTAGCGACAGTTGTTTTACCGCGGTCGCAACCTTCTGCGAGGTAGTAATCTCGCGGAAGGAGGCGGCGGAGAGGGCCCGGGAGGACGACCTCCACTCGGACCCGATCCGCCGCCGGCGAACCGGGCGGCGGAGGCCCGCCTATCACAGCCTCATGCCGCCCTGAGTGTGGCCGCGGGTGGACGGGGTGGGTTTCCCCTCCACCCGCATTAGTTGGCCAGCCGCGAGGGGGCGGCGTCCGCGTGTGCCGGACGTCGCCTAAAGAGAGGAACATCTACATTGAGACGGAGCCCGCACCAGGAGCGGGCTGGCGCTAGGAGGGGTCCGGATGTCTTAACAACAGCTGTTCCCGGATCCCTCCTGTCACAGGCGCAGAGTGGCACACCGTGTGGTTTTAGTCGGTCCGATTCCGACACACCACCCCGCCGCAAACCCCGGAGGGGTGACGGTCCGAGGGGATTTCCACACGTTAAAAAAAAAAAAAAAAGGGTTTGTGTCAAGTTTTCCTTCTCTTTGCAGTGCTGTTGCCTTGGGTAGTTTGTTCCCTTAGTCCGCCCCAGGTTCTGGCGTCGCACGGGGCTTTAAACTGGGCCCATCATTATTTCTAGTGTTTATTAATGACCTTCTAGATATAATTAAATGTGACTGCTTTGCTTATGCTGATTACCTAAAGATATACAGTATATCTGCAACTACCGATTGTGTTAAACTTCAAAGTGACTCTTAAACAATTTTGTTTAGAAAATTTCAGTATATCACGTTCACAAATAAATTTAAATTTATTGGTTTCAAATACTGTATAGATGGAGCGTACCTTAACAGAGTGTCTATTATTCGTTACCTGGGAGTTATTTTCGACACTTCTTTATCTTTCCTTCATCATATAGATCATGTAGTCGCAAAAGCCAACAAAATTATATAGATTTAATAATTAAATCTTTAAAAAAAAACATTTTGTATTACCATAAAATCAATGAGTTACGTAGTAAAGTTACTACGTAAGTTGTTATTGATTCTATGGTTTTGATATATTCCTATTCTATTCTAACTAAGAAAATTGATGATAATAAATGGGTATGAATTTTATTTTGCTCAGGGTCCATGCCGGTAACTATAGTAAGAGTACTAGTGATACGAATTTGATTTTTATTAAATACGAGTAAACCTGTATATATATATATATATATATATATATATATATATATATATATATACTTAGATATATATAATAATTTGCTATTGCTTTTTTTTTATTGTAAGAATTTTAGAATTTTATACTAAATTGGAGGTGTTAAATGAAATGAACATGAACGAAACACAGCAAGGAGACTATAATTTTACACGACATCTTACGATCTATTTTTACTCTCCATGAGAAGAAGAACGATTTAGAAAATCACTGAGTAAGCGCAGTCGTTCAGAAAACATGTTTTGTTTTCAGTATTATCAAATCCAGTACAGCAGTTAGAAGGACATCGATGTTATTGGTGCGGCCCACTTGCGGAGCAGGTCCATCGCAGCCAACGGGCCGCCAAATGTAACGGCGATAAGAGTAAAGTGACTATCTGCGATGAAGACTTACCTTACTGCGCTATTGTGGCTTCATCACCTCGTAAGTTTTAATTCATCGAAATATTTTTATTCTTAGTTAATGGTTCCATAGTACTAACGAGGAATCGTTGTTGTTAGAATCAAGTGTACACCTACAAGTTAAACTGTTTGCATGAAAATTCTAAAAGAAGTCATAATGTATCGATGTGATGAATTTGTCGATTTTAGAAGAAAAAGCCACCACTGTGGTACTGTTTCTTCTAAAATCGACATCATTCATTCAGCTAAAGAGTAATTGTTATCATAAAAAGTCACCCAATTTATAAAAAGTACCTACCTTCTTACAAAAATCTTTAAAAATACCCAGATGCAGGTGATATATTATTTTAAAATAAGTCGTAATGAACTACGTAACTCGAGACTGCACATGACCCCACATGCAATTGGCAAGTTTTTAAATATAATTGCAATTGTCTGTGAGCGTGTTTTATAACTATATATACTGATTTTAAAAACCGCAGACCAAACTTCTTATTTATTTCGACCTTTATACATAAATCAGCTAATGTTAACGACTTGCAGGGTTACATTTCCAATAAGTGAACATTACTTTTTAAAACCTAGGTACTTTCAATGTACTAAATTTATTTTTTTGCTTCACAGCGTATGTCGAATCCAGATACTGCGTCAAATTCTATCAAGATGAATGTTACCCACTTTACTGTAACTCTACTAAAATTTGGAAGGTCATATGCCCGTGCCGTGGGGAACTATGCAATGGACCGAACACCAAAAGAGAAAAGGAAGTTTTTGAGGCACTTCATAAACTTACCATAACCAAACGGCTTAAAAGAGCATTAATTTCTAACGTGGCTTTCATGGGAATGACTACTCGTAAGAAGACAATTGATAACATTACTATTGAACATAACGTAAACCTTCCATCTGACGATGTTAAAAACAAAGAAAATGATAATGCTGCTAATAGTATTATCGAAACTCATGACAGCTCTAAGCCTAGTACTGATAACATATCAAAAATGGAAATTATAGCTGTAAGCTCACAAGCGCCTGAAGCAGAAGTTACAATCAACCCGCATACAGAAACTCCAACGATAGAATTTTCACCCACCGATATATCCACCACTGCGAAAACAGAACCAGCCATCGAAAATTATGAAAAAATTGAATCTAATGTTCAAACTTCAAACGCAAATTCAGTAACTATAACAGCAGAAACTAAATATATTGATGAGACAGGAGACAATAACATGGATCAAACTACTGAAAACAATGCAGTAAAGCCTTCTGCCGCTGAAAGTCAAACAGAAAATGATATGAACGTAAACATCGAACCAGCCCCAAAGAACACAAATCAAGCCGATGAAATTCATACTGTAACTATGGCAACTACTCAGGGAACTCAAAACGCGCCTAGTATAAAAATCGACATTCCCAGTAGCAGTATTGATAGCGACGATCTTAAAACAGATATTATAGTAATGAGTAGTAAAAAACCTAACCAAGTATACGATACAATGCTTAATAGTGACATGGAAACACATGTTGAAAATATGCCTAGCGTACAAACAAATCCTCTAGGAACTAAATCAATGGCTAGTGAAGTTAGTTTAGTCACAACAGAAACAGTTACAGTCACAACTCAGATTGAAACAAAATTAGAAAAAACTAAGTCAAAGGCCAAAGAACAATTGCCAGCTGCAGAAGCCCTTCAGCACACTGATACTCCTACAACACAACCAATGACGCACACTACTAGCACGTCTACAATGGATATTAACAATATCGATCACACCACACTACCTACAAGGCTTCGTAATAATACGGCCGTTCGAATTGAAGCACACATATTAACAATAGTAATTGGAGTCGCCCTCCAATATTAAATAAACTTTATTTATGTACCTAGTTATCTAAGTATATTTGCCCTATATTTTTTCATTGTCATAAGTTGATCTCTGTGAGTCGAGCTTTAATTGTTATAATTAAAATATTTGTAGATCTAGTTTCATGTGATACTACTAATGTAGAAGCAAAATTTCAAATATTTTCGGCAATTAATTTAGTTATATTGGCACATAAATAAAAACACATGCAAAACGTTGTATATTTTTTATTAACCTTGTGTTAGTCAAATGTAAAATCATAGTGTTGTGGCAACTTTCGATTGCTATTTTTCGTTTCTAAACTTTTTGCACCTTGAGCATAGGCTTCTCTTATATCCGATTCAAAAGGTTTTTTAAACTTCGCCTTTTTGGCAACTGGGCCATAATAGTCATATGTTGGTGGCGGTGCTACTTCTGTACCACTTGTTTCATGATCTCTTGTGTCTTCTCTATTTTCAAAAGCGTCTTCTGGTTCATATACTTCATTAACTATAGGAGTCAGTTCTTGAGCTTTCACAAAATTCCTGTATTTTACGTTGTTTTCTTTTTTCTTGTTTGATGTAAAATATAATCCTTTTTGTGATGATTCACTCAGGTCACCAATATCTGGAGGGGGTGGTGTTTTTCTACTTGGTCTTACGTCTGTCCATGTCTTTTGATGAACATGTTCATGTAGATCAGCTATGTTAGATGGTGGAGGTGATACGGGTTTTAATCTCCCGTCATCCCAAGCATTTGTCGTAGGTGTGCCGTCATATTTTAATATTTTACCACGGTCATTAAAAACATTTAAATTACTGGAGGTAGATGTATGTAGTGGGGCAAATTCGTTTATCCTTTTACTTCGCTGTAATTCAACATATTCTTCCTGGCTCATTTCTCTAAATTTCTTAAGTTTACCCTCAACATCTTTCTTTCCAATATCCCACTCTCGTACATAGGCCTCGCGTAGTTTTTGTCTTTCTTTTTCTGCTTCTTCTTTTAGCTTTCTTTCTTCTTCTGTTGCTTTAGCATCTGCCTCGTTCTTTTGTTGTGTCAGAAATTCTAATAAACAAGTAGTGAAGTCCTTTTGGTTGGCTTCTGCAATGAATGAATACATAACTTTACCTTTAACTTTTTGCATTCCATATTTTTATTTTTTTTGGGCATGTCTATTGGATGTGGCTATAGATTAACTGAAATTCTACTTAAACAATAAGTGATAATTATCACTTATTCTTTAAGTACAACTTGAGTTATAAAAAAAATTACCTTTAGGTTCCTCAGGTGGTAAACCAGCTCGTGCTCTTTGTCTAGCTCTTGCCGCCGCGACTCTAGCCGCCATCATCTCATCCCGTTTCTTCCGAATTTGATCTGCTTCTTGCTGAGCTTTCAATGTTGCTGCGCGCTGCTTTATAAGCTCTTCCATTTGTTTTTTACGTTCAGTTTCATCAGTACTAAAAGCATAATATCCCACTCCGTGAATTCGTGCCTCTGAAAAAAAATCGGTATTTTTAATATGGTACATGTCTCTAAATTGGAGTTGTAATTCGCTGTTTTATCGTATCATACGCCTTTTATGACCATAATGTATCGGACATTATGGTCATAAAAGGCTTAGAAGGTGACACAGTAAGTGGGAGAGAGATCGCAACACTGCAATACATTCCGTTTTGACGATTTATGACCTATTTTTGCAGCGAATAAATTTAACTACTATATAATAGTAGTAGACACTACCGAACAGTTCTCAATATCACTAGCATTTTACATAGGAGAGATAGAATTTCAATGCATATTGTCACTAATTATTTTCAGTAAACTTCAAACGAACATTCAGCAACTGTAGCAGCAGAAACTAAATCTATTTTTGTTTTATTTAATTTAAAACTTAATGCACATGTTGTACAAAGACGGACTTAATGTCATTAGGCATTCTCTACCAGTCTCATTCACGGTGACGTAGAAAAATAATACGGTAGGTGCAAAATAAAAAATATTAAATTTAACATAATTGAAGTCCAGAGACATACACAATATACAAACACACATACATAAGTAAACACACATATAATACATCTACATATATTTAATAAAATATATAAATACTCAGTCCGGTACTAGCGTTGTGACATTTCTGCCAATTCTATTCAAAATTAAAATTCAATAAATCTATCGAGGGAACTAAAGGAATTTAGAAAAGATGCATTGAATATTATATAGCAGTACAGACATTGCTATTATGTACAATGTACACAATTTGTTTGTAGAGTTTATTCAAACAGAATTTGGACTTTTTACTTTGACATTAAGATATTTTTAATGTTTAACTGAAGGTTTTAGGATGATGATTTCGAAAATTATGCACTAAAAATTAATCACTCTCATAAATAAATACATAATGTTATATTAAAATTGATCAATCTATTGACATCACTGATAAACCATCTTACACTATCCAATCTAATCTACAAACCGTCAAATAATAAATCTTGATAATGTATGTCCTTTTCCTTAGAAAGCAGTTCCTGTTCTTTCTGCTCCCATTTCTCTCGCAATGACTGTAGGTAGTCATTTGTTTTTTGTACTAGTAGCGGCTTTTCTATAGGTGTATCAGAAACCTGAGAAATTTATTACAACTTTCAGTAAACCATAATAACCTTTAACATACAAAAAATTTATTCAGCAACTTTAGAGTGTGACTAGTAATACAAAGCTTTAAGAAGAAGTCAAGTCGCTAGAAAACTGAAGACACATGTTTTATGACCTTAAGATTACTCATTTAACGCCTTAAGGAAACTTTAAATTTTCTCTAATATAATACGAAATCCATTAAAGACCTCCTCATATGAAACAAGACTTTTATTTAAGCGCCTTGGAACATACAAGACAGGCACATTGCATATGTAACTGTTACAATTCTCTGAAAATCTATTTATCTGCAAATTTTTTTTTTTGTTCTTTTTCTGTTTAGCAATCTGTCTCTTTATCAGGACATTAAGCGATAGATTGGGCATAAATTGTAGGTCTGTGCAGGAATGCGGCCAATGCCGTACCCTATTCTAGTTTAAGGTGCTCTTATTTACAGCACATGCTGGGGGATTCTGAGCTTTAGTCGGCGTGTTTTCAGACTTGTCCATAAGCAGTTGGGCCAATATATTTGGGTGGTTTAATATTCTGTCCCTGTATGCCTTAGTATGTCTAGTTATTTCCTCCCTGATTGTAAGCATTTTCAGATCGTTGTGCAGTTGTTTGTTAGTCACAAACCAAGTTTTAGTTTTGAAAACGTTGTAAGATCTCTATGTTGGATTGTGAGGCTGTTCCCCATAGTTGTATGCCGTACATCCACACAGGTTTGAGGATGGCTTTATATAGTAGTAGTTTATTTTCCATTGATAACTGGGATTTAGAACCAATGAGCCAGTAGCCATTTTTCTGCAAATAGCACCCGATAGCTTTGCATCAACATTAACTATTGCAGTCTATCACTGACACTCCAAACCTGATAAATTATAATGTACTGATATGACTTCTCCCATATTATTTTTAACGGAATAAGAATATGGAGTGTCACCACCCATTAATCCCATGGATGTCGTAAGAACCGTCTAAGGTAGCAAACTTTGCAGGACTTCAAAAGGAAAACTTGACAAAACCCCTATACCAAACTGTCAGGTCAGAGTGGTATAATAGGCCAACCTCTACTTTCTAAGGAGAGGTCTATGTCCAGCAGTGGACTAATAAAGGCTGTCCATGATGGCTTTTCAATCACCAGGCACCACCACTCAAACAATTTACCGTTTGAATAAGTGACAATTTATAGTGGTTTAATCCCATTTGCTATTGCACCCCTCTGCTTTACACTCTTGGCTAAACTTTCCGGAACCTAAACTTTTTTTACTCATCATTTGACCCTTACTATTCATAAGGTCACTATCACTAAAGATGAAACAGTACCTTCAGTCCCAAACACTATATAAGTAGCATTTACATTAAGTCTTAAAAAATAATAGTTTACTAACCTGAGGTTGAGAATTAATGCTCAAGTTTTCATGTTCGTTCAGGTTGGACTGGCTGTGGACAGGTTCAGTTCCACCATTATTTGATTCACTCTTAGTCATCACTTTCATTAGTTGTCTGTCTCTCTGTATATACTTATCTAGGTCTGACTTATGACATTTTCTTGTGCGCCCAAGGAAATCTGTGAACTCAGTCCTGATAACAAAAAATGAAATGAGATTAAGTGACCCTTTTATCCACCCAAAATTGTGAGAGGTAAAGTAATTATTGTTACAGTGTGCAATCTATGACTTTCACTATATTCTGATATCAATTTCTGATGTATTGATTATATATGTATTGAAAACTTTTGGATGTAGGCAGCACAAGACCCATTGGTATGGCAAAATGTGGAGGAGGCCTAAGTCCAGCAGTATATATTGAAAAATCTTTTGTTACCATTCACTGTCCTCTCCATCTTCTTGATGAAGAAAGTCTTCTGAATTAGGTGGCAGTTCTTCTATCTTGTTTTCTGTTGAAACTTCAGATTTCTTTTTAGAATCAAAATCAACAAGGAACCTCCCAGATAGCTGTGAACTTCCAGCATTATCTGATAAATGTTCATAGAGCACAGCTTTTTTCTCTAAAGCTAATCTGTGAATACATATAACATCAATTGATTAAAATACATCTATGTAGTGTGAAAGAAACTGCTAGCACTTTATTAGTTTACTGAACACCTTTTTTAAGATAGTCTTTAAATAGTTTTATCCATTACTGTAACTTTGTGGTAGATAGGAATTATCTCTCTTTTCCTCTTTCTCTTTCAATGTAAGCAAATATTATTATTATTATTTACTAAGATACATTAAAAACAGAAATATTACATGTTGAATATTATCGAATTTAATGTAAGAACTGCTTAAAGACACAGAATGTACTATTAAAAAAAAAAAAATACTAACAAAGTATAGCATGAATAGCATTAAAAAGAGAATAAAAAAACAGATCAAGCCAAAACTTTTTAAGTAATCTAACAAGTTAAACATGGTCTGACAGTTCAGGAAAAAATGTGTAACTAGTAAACAGAGATTATATAACAATTCTTTAAGTTTAGAATGTCCTAAATATGATTACATATAATTACCTACGAGTACAGAAAGAGAAGGAAAACTTGAAACAAACCCTATACCAACCCGTCTGGCCAGCGTGGTATAGTAGGCCAAAACCTCCTTTCTAAGGAGAGGCCTATGTCCAGCAGTGGACTAGTATAGGCTGTTGATGATGATGACCTACGAGTACAGTTGGTACATGGAATACAAAGATTCTTTATAATAACTTGTTAATATTGATATATGTGTATTTAGTGACAAAATAACTTACTTTGTTTTCCTGCAAGCTTCCAATTCTTCAGCATCAATAGCTTTTAAACTATCTTTAAAAGATTTTTTGTATTCTTTATTTGTGTTCTTTTCCTGATCTTTACCTTTTGCGACAACAGGAGGTTTAAAGTTCTCCAACTTATGCTTCGGCTGTTGTTTCTTCTCGTTCACTTCCTCTTGTTTTCGCAATAATTCGGCCTTCAAACTAAATAACTGTAAGCAATACGTTAGACATTACAAGATAAATACCTACTACAAGATAAATACCTACTACAAGATAAATACCTACTACAAGACTCCTATGTTTATCAGCGTAAATTAAAACAACTTACTGTAGATTTGTTAAAGAGTATTTTCTTCGACCCTTGTTCGTTCATTTTGAGGCCTTTTCGAATGATAAGTACACAGAAGGGCAATATCTATTGAATCTGAATGAAATTTCACACTTTAATCCTATTCTACTTTAGTTGTAATTTTCCAAAATAATTACTGGACGTTCGCTCAGACGATACAATTTTCAATCAAATCAATTATGTCCAGTGTTGCCAATAGTTAAATTAGGTCTCCGCCAGATTAAATATCTAAAACCACCAACGAAAAACGTCCCTACTCTAAAATTCACTAAATTTTCCGATTAACTTTTTTTTTTATTAAGAAAGGTATATAAGTGTCATCAAATTAGTGCCCTTTATTTTTAACGTTAATCAAAAAACCAACATACACATAGTAAATCAACAAGTCAAGATCGGGAACTTCAAAAATATTCAAAAACAACAGTTACTTCTTTAAATTAATTCGTCATAAACTATTGATGATTGATGATGAATTATTTTTGTTTTTACTATTATCGTCGATTTCAGATTGATACGCTTCTTTGGTACAGGTTTGTTTTAGAACGTTTATCGGAATTTCTAATTCGTTGCAACATTTTCCTCCCAACCTCAAATACAGCGTATTTTTAACATAGCAAATAAAAGATTCAGCTTCATTTTATTCCTCTGCTTAGTCTTCATTTCATTCATTCATTCTGCTAAATAGTATGGGCTGCTTTATGGGCAGATAGGACCTGTCCGTCGCAAACTGTTACAATGCTCAACGACTCGCACTGATATTATTGTGCAAGGCACCTATAAGGGTTAGCACTGAGGCTTTGCCGGTGTTGCCGGGTGTGCTTCCAGTTGATCTCGAGGGGCAGACGTGCTGCCATGTACTATTCAACACTACAAAATATGGAATGCGATTTTCTAACATCAGTCCAATGTCTATAATGACCTCATAGACGAATAGCAACCGCACTGGGCCGAATATTCTGAGCGGTGCCATCTTTACCAGTTCTTACCATCTGTTTGGTTGTCGAGGACATGGCTTTAGGTGGATCATTTCTTACAGGTCATGGTTATTTTAAGAGCGTTTGCTCTTGCGTTACATTCATTTAAATAAGTGGAGTCACCATTGTGTCAATGCTGACGCCTGGCTTTAACTGTAAACAGTCTGCTTATCATATCCTCTGGGAATAGTCTTTGGTATAATGAATGTTATATAATGCTAAATAGTTTACAGGTGATATCTGGGGCGGTATACTTTAGGGATCTTCTATCAACCAAGGTAAATTTCCGTGCGTTAAGGCGATTTTTGCCATACATATTAGTGAAATCAGAAACAACGCTCACTTAGAAAGAAAGCTCACTTAAAACCAATAATATTTTGTGAGCCTCTTTAAAAGGGTGTATGCCAATTTTACTTCTTTTTGTCTTCCGCTTTGTTAAAGAGGGAAGTGGATTTATTATATTTCCAACTCCTCCAATTTTCTTCTGATGAATTTTGTTGCGGGTTCCCAGACAGTAAATTTTTTTCCAGGGACTGCCCGAGTGTCATAACTAAACATAAAAAAGTTGATGTGTGTGAGTGCTGTTGATTCAGGTGTATAAAAGTTACAGTGGTGGGCGTGTGGGAGGGATTAGTGCCCAGATCCAATATTGTCGTCTTTCAATTTTTACCAGTGCCTTCTGGGGACATCAAAGAGATCGTGTCCATCAATTCTAACAAAATGGGTTGGAATGACTTTAACCGTACAATGATAGTTACCACCCTGGATTATGTCCTCGAAATTATAACCCACATAATTGACTTCTCTCTCGACTCCGGTACTTTCCCATCTCCAGTTCTAGCACAAAAATCATCTCATTGCCTAAAATTAATAATCCTTCTCTTCTTGAGCACTTCCGTTCAATGACTATCCTTACTTTCCACAAACATTTCTCACAGTTCGTCTTTCAACATCAACGTCCTCTACAATCTTACTATTACTAATAAACCACTAGAAAATCCACCACCCATAAAAGTTATATTTCGCTACTAAAATGGGGGTCAACCGAAACCACCAGTTTTAGCGGAAAATCAATTAGATTGGCAACACTGATTACGTCAACTATTTTGTCATTGAATATGTCAAAACTTGACAATTTGAAGCGATGACATTTATACAAAAAGAGATCAAAAAAAGAAGGATTCTGGATTTTTTTTAATTATAAGGGTTTTTGAGCTAATTCCTTTGTAAATTTCTTAATGTTAGCACACCAGCTGCCCATAGCCTCCACCGCCACAGGAACGAAGGGGTAAAGCTGCAGAACAGTAATCAATAGTGACCCCCGCTCCGGTTCGTTCCTGGTGCAAACTAAACTAGAGTTGTGTAGCTCCTGAGTGAGTGATATAAAAGATATATATCATTCACGACGATAAAATCTATCACTCACTCACACTTCCTCCGAATATATCAGTAACTCACTACTAGCTCACTAGATCACTAGATCACTAGCTCAACGACGCCGATCTTTGTTTCATGAGCGAGTGAGACTAAAGATAAATGAGTGAGATAGATGATGGTTGAGTTCACGCAAGTTTCTTTATGCAAAATGTACATTATTTTTATAGGATCAAAGTACAAGGAACATCAAATTATGTATGATTTCTATTATACAACCTAAAAAGAAGTACAAGAAATAATTTTTAATTTTTAATTATTATATAAAAGGCTGTTAATAATTATGTTATGTTATCAAAATGAATAATTTTGTATTTAAAAAAAATAGGTTAAAAATGTAGTTTCAAAAACTGAATTTAGGTTTATAAGAAAATAAAGAAAGATTTGTAAGGCGAGAGAGGCTTGAAGTGAGTGATATACAAGTATACTGAGCTAAACGATCTAGATGAAGAAATGAATTAATTGAGAGACCAATCAATTGAATCGGATCAATGAGCTAGTGAGCTAAAGGAGTTAGTGAGCTAAATGAGCTAGTGAGCTAGATGAGTGATATATATCTTTAGAGCGAAATGATATGTATCAATCTTTTCAGCTCAGTGATACATTTTGCGCATCATTAGTGCAAACTACAAAGGTTCAAACTACAATTCAGCAAGTGTGATGGGCACCTTTTCATCGGAAACGATCAGGGATGGGTTAATTTAATTAAAACTTTGTTTGTGTAAATTTGATCGTTCTCATGTTTGTAATATTTGTAAATTAACGTTTAAAATTAGAAATTAATTAATCCATGATAATTATCATGGTTTCATTTTTTCAAGTATATTAAAGGTCCAGTAAACATTGACAAGATATTTTGTACTTCACTTAGAACAACGAGAATACCAACTAGAGTGAAGTTAGTCACAATTATGGGATCTCTATAAAGTTGACATCTCCGTATTGACCACTTGCAGCGTATTTAATTGCTAATTTCATGGTCATCTTGACAACCATCTCGCTGGCCGTGACGACAGAAATTTCTACACAACGACATAAACGGAATCTTTTGTGTACAAGATACAGTTATATAAATAGTTAACGAATTTGTCATATGAAAAGTTTCCTAAGATAAAAAAATCACATAAAAGCTGTTAAAATTAGTGGTTTAAGTGCGTGATACCAAAATGTCAACTCCAGCCAGAAGACGCCTTATGAGAGATTTTAAACGGTTTGTATTTCATATCTCTTACAACTAACAACAGAACAACTAACAGTTTCATTCGTTTTTGTGCCATCGCATTTCAGTAAGAATTTCTTTGTGCGAAAGTGCAATGCTGATTCATCAAATTACATCACAGTCATTTTAATCGATTTCTATTTCGTTCTATATTTCAAATTAGATTGTAAATTTAAGAATTACTGTGCCTTGTAGTTCTTTGTGGTAAACTTGAAGATATTATTGTATGCTATAAGTAGATATAGCTACGTCATTTCGATGTTTAGACGAATTTGTTCACTGCTCATTATTTAGGTTATCCAAATATATGGCAATATTCGCACTGAACAATGCTAATATTGAGATTTTCTCAATGTTCAAATATGATTCACGTAAGTAATGTCAGGTATACGTAAAATTTATAACAACCTTGATTATATATTTAGCTTTGTGTTGACAATAATATTTAAAAAAAACAAGATGCTAAGAAGTATGAACATACAACTACTGTATTAGTTTTTAAGCTGGTTTTACAATGTATGTATATGTAGTAAAAATGTTTCATTCTTCATATTGTATCATATCAAATTTATGGTACAATATAGAGGTCTTCATCATTAAATATAAAACAGGAATATCCTTATTCTTCATAACTATAGATAAGATTTCTTCTACCTCTTATTGTTAAATTAATTCTATGTATTTTTTATTATAACTCCCATAATTAACATTTGCAGCTTACAAGAGGACCCACCTACTGGAGTTTCCGGTGCTCCTACTGACAACAATATTATGATCTGGAATGCTGTAATATTTGGACCACATGACACCCCATTTGAAGATGGAACATTCAAGCTCACAATAGAATTTACAGAGGAATACCCTAACAAACCTCCCACAGTTCGGTTTGTCTCCAAAATGTTTCATCCAAATGTTTATGCTGATGGTGGTATCTGTTTAGACATCCTGCAAAACAGATGGAGCCCTACATACGATGTTTCAGCTATTTTAACTTCTATACAGGTAAATGATTTAAGTCTTCTTCTATTGTAAAGAAGTGCACATCTATTATAATGAATACAAACTTGCCAAACATAAATTATAGTACTAAATTAATCACCAATTAAAACAGAATTTTTTAATACAAACTGAATAGTGGCATTCATTACAGAAACTGTTTTAAGAGACATGATTTGTCTGAATAACAATCAATATTTGTTATTTTTTCACATTGGGTTTAGATTAAGTGAAAATAAGTATTCTTACATACTTATCCAAAGCCTAGAGTTTGTAACATCTGTTTTTAATACAAAAGTACAACTGACTAAATGGACTTAAGTCATGTCATTGGAAATTTTCTTTGAAATGTTTTAACTTGACCTAAATTGATTAACATGAATAAATTGTATATGTAAGTCTTTAGTCGGTCCGCATGGTGACTGATTAAGAATACAGAGTGTCACCACCCCTATTCATCCTGTGGGTGTCGTTAGAGCCGACTAAGGGAAAAAACTATGCAGAACAACAGCACTGCAGAGAGAAGGAAAACTTGACACAATCCCTTTTTTTTTACGTGTGTAAAACCGCCTCGCTCTACTGGGGTTTGCGGCGGGGTGGTGTGTCGGAATCGGACTGACAAAAACCACACGGTGTGCCAGTCTGCGCCTGTAATAGAAGGGATCCGGGAACTGCTGTTATTAAGACATCCCGACTCCTCCTAACCTTTTTTTTTTCGTGCGGAAATCCCCTCGGATACCACCTATCGGTGGCATGTCGGACTCGAACCGACTAAAACCGCACGCCGTCTCGGGTACTAATAGCCGGGGAACCAGGTATACCCTAGAAAGGAAGTCCCTGGTGAGAAAGGAAGTCCCTGGTGTCCTCCTAGCGCCTGCCCCCAACGGCGCGGGCGCCATCTTCAGGTATATTCGCCATTTAGGCGACGTCTGGCACACGAGGACGTAGCCTTCTCGCGGCTGGCCGTTATGGCTGGTAGAGGAGAAAACCCTTCCGTCCACCCGGGCGCCACACTCAGGGCGGCATGACTTTGTCCGAGTTGAGGTTGTCCTCTCGGGCCCTCTCCGCCGCCTCCTTCTTCCTTTCCTTTCTCCGCGTCCGCGGTGAAAACATCTGTCACTGAGATCCCCCCGATGACTGCAATGAGGACCCGGCGCTGCGGCGCCCAAGCCGGGCAAATTGCCAGCGTGTGCTAAGCCGAGTCCTCACTGCAATCGCAGTGGTGAGAGGCGGGACTAAATTCCCTCCTAGCTACCGAAGGCAGGTACTTTCCAAAGCAGCCGTGCCTGGAAAGGACCTGCGTCAGCCGGAAGGAAAGGGTCCCTTGCTGCCGCCCTGCCCACTCGACGATGACCGGCTGAAGCGCCTCCACGGCGACAAAGCCAGCACATGGAGCCCCAAGCCGGGACGACCAACAAGCCATCGTGACTCGATGAGCGGCCTCGCGCTACTCGCGTATCTCTTCGCGCGTCCGCTGATATACTTCCGCGAGCACTTCCGCCTCCAAATCCCACGGGGAAGTACCGGCCAATGCGCAAGCCGCCTCCGTCGATACGGTGCGGTAACAGAGTATGGCTCTAACCGCCAATATCCTCTGAAGGCGCCAGAGCCTTGCCCTATTCTGGGCGGTCAGAGCTGCCGCCCACACCGGTGAACCGTACAGTGCCATTGACTTGACTACCCCCGTGTACAGCCGACGCTGGGTCCACCCAAATTGGGTAAAAGTCGCCCTAGGGCGACTTTGCAGATGCAGCGCCGACCAGCTTTGGAGCAAGTCGTCTCGTACTCGTCGAAGAGCCATCTCCCGTCATTTGACACAAACCCTATACCAACCCGTCTAGCCAGCGTGGTATAGTAGGCCAAAACCTCATTTCTAAGGAGAGGCTTATGTCTAGCAGTGGACTGTTAAAGGCTGTTAATGTAAGGTCAGGGTTACTTCAAAGTTTTAGTATGTTTTTCACTCACTCAGGGAATTCCAATCTATTGCATTTGTTTTTACAGCTCTTATATATAATCCAAAGTGAACAGACTAATAATTAATGAAATAGATTTACAGTGTTTATGGTTTTAAAAATAAATAGCTAATATAGGGGCTCGCCGCCACCCCGGCCTGCTTCTGCTAGGGTGCCAGATGGCCTCACCTGTCCCGCTCCGCCGTCTCCTTCGCGAGCATAACTTGCTCGCAGAAGGAGACGGCAGAGTTCCACGCACTCTCGCTCCGCACGATAGCCGCAATCAGGCTATCGAGCGAGAGAACTCCCACTCCGATGGCCGCCACGAGGTCTCGCCTCTGCTCAACCCACGCCGGGCACTCTGCCAGCGTGTGGAGAGTCGTGTCCACGGTTTGGCCAGTGGTGGCACTCAGGCGTTGGCTCCTTGCGGATCAGACACAGGTGATCCCCGAAACATCCTTTCCCAGTGATCACCTGCGTCAGTCGGTATGAGAGGATCCCGTGACGCCTCTCGAGCCAATCCTCCATAACGGGTCTGACCGCCGCGATGACGGCGTGCCCGGCGCTCGGTTGCCCGAGTTGTTCCCTCCACTCCCCTATGGTGACCTGGCGGAGTTGGGATTGCCGGTCATCGATTTCTCGAATCTCGGGACACCGACCCAACTCCCGCGCCTCCTTGCGCCACTGATACAGAGCCGCAAGGGCTCTCGCCTCCAGGTCCCACGGTGGAGTTCCGGCCAGGAGACTCACCGCCTCAAAGGAGATCGTGCGGTACCCCCTTATGATCCTGATAGCTAGCAGTCGCTGCGGTCGTCGCAGTATCGCGACGTTGCTGGCCTTCAGGGCCCAGGGCAAGATTGACCCTATAACTAAATAGTTTGTTTTAAAATATTTATATCAGCAATCTGGTTACCATAGTACAGGCTCAGCCTAGTTTGAAATCAGATAGCCATGTGTGAGATCATTATATTTCCCTCATAGTTATAATGTGCTTAAGGACTTCTGTGCAAAATTTGATAATCATCTCACAATCCATATAGTGATGAAATAGTATAGAGGGTGTAAGTATAGTATAGAGGGCTTTTTAAATTCGTTTCACCACCACAATTATCACCAGTTTGGCTTTTATTGTAGGGTACAGATTTTAAATCAATCAAAAATAATGCTTTATAGGCGACTTGGTTATTACAAAATACTATATGAAATAGGAAATTGAATTTCACATTGAATCTCTTTTATTTGTTGTTAGTTAAGCTGGTTTTAAAATTATTTATTTATTAGTGTTGTAGGATATGTATACATGTGACATGTGTTATCGAGAATTACTATTATACTGCTGTTATGTGTATACATGTAAATATATTTATCTCACATGTTACCATTATTTTTAGTTTATTGTCAGTTTTATGTACTATAAATAAATACCATATTAAAATTTGTTTCAGTCATTACTAAGTGACCCCAATCCTAACTCGCCGGCGAACTCAATGGCGGCGCAGCTTTATAAGGAGAACCGACGGGAATACGAAAAACGGGTCAAAGCATGTGTAGAACAATCATTTATTGACTAGCACGGGACGGGTGGGATCTCAATAAAGTGGTGTTCACATTGCCTATGCAGCCGTATACACCGGCCGATACCTCCATGTACATTTCATTGGGACAAACATGTAAATTATACTTACATACATACAACACCAAGATAATACCTACTGCAAATGTTTAGCAGATTAATATAAGTATGGGTTTTGGTAAACTAATTTTATGATTAACAAATAAGAAAAACCAAAATTTTAAGTCAACAGGTGATATACATAAAATAGCCACATATTTATACTACCTATTTAATTATATTATTGACAATATTGTACTTTACCACATACCAATAAGCATAAGATTAGATCAGCATTAGATATAGATACTCTCAAGTTTTATTTATTTGTGAGGTATTTTCATAGCTAATATTAAAAGCATCTTCAAATTGTCATCTTTTTTTGTAAATCTAAAATAATAATAACAATGAGCACCAGCAATACTTATTGTAAAAAAAATTCAGTGTAACTGTAATGTTAGCTACAGTGTGGGAACTTTTATCAATTGTAATATGCACTTAATAATAAAAAATTAAAAGCTTTGCTTCAATTGTCTAGCCTCTACGGTAGTTCATAACGCCCTTGTATGACTGAGGACAATTATGTATTTGTTAGATGTATTCCTCTAAGCACTATCAGAACTTTTTCACATTAGAGTTGGAAAATATTTTGGTATTAATTTGATTATACAAGGATATATGAATTGTTATTGTTTACTGAATCATTGTAATTGTGCCCTAGTGATATTATGGTTTTTAACAGTCTACCTAAACTAGTACAAGTTTATTTCTAAATATCAAAATTATTACCTATGGACTCCCGTGGTTACTAACTAATATATTCTCATTATTCTGCTGCACAAAATTAGGTCAAGTCTCATTCGTGTACATTATAATTGTCCCAATGGATATTTTTGAAAAGTGTAGCAGTTTCCTTGTTTTCTAATAAAGCTGAATGTTTGAAATGTCTTGTATTTCAAGAACATTTACATATGTGTAATATTTGTCTTCTAGTAAAATATTATTTTCGGTTTTATAATTGTCTTTTCTTTTAATCTGCCTCTGCCTGCCTTTGAAAAATAAAAACAAAGTTTATCTAAAAAATAGTTTATATCAATTATGATTTGTTACAAAAGTATATCTTAGTATACTACACCATTATTGCCATGCCATCAAAATAATGCCCAATCACGTGAGCCTTCTTGTGCAATCCAATCACTAACGGATTAACTTAATTAATTATTAAGTTACATTGGAAATAAATTAAGTCACATTTTGACATATCAAATGTAGTATTTCAAATAAATATATGAGAAAATTAAGTTTAAATAACTTAATTTAAAGCTCAATTTCACTTAATTTAACCTATCATCTAATTTTTAGTTCTTCTTTTAATTTAAAATGTAATAATTCCATGCAAACAGTGGCATCTTCAGCACTGTCATGTCCATCCACAGAATTTTGAATAATTTTCTTTAAATACTCTGAAGATAAATTTCTAAGAGCTCTCTTATACGGAGGACCCATTTTGTGAGGAAACAAAACACTTGTGTCTATAACAGTATCATGAATTAGTTTTAAAACTTTAAAGTCAGATTCTAAACTATGCCCCACCAATATAGTTTTACTATTAAACATTGTAAGAAGTGTAGCTTGGACATCCAGTAATGTTGTTGTTACATTAACCATTTGTTCCTCAGTAATTCCGGAATATCTAGTATTATAATCTATTATGGGATGCAATGGTTTAATCAGCGTCTCATAGACCACTTTACAATCAGAATTAATTATTGTTACTCTAGTCAAATCTAATCCATGTGTTGTGTAACACATTTCACAATCCAATGCATATATTCCATAATCATCTTGAGTATTTTCTGGAGGTAATGTTCTGACAAATCCCTTCAAATTATCAAAATCAACATATTCATAAACATGACTGGGTGCTACACAACAGCCATCTGATGATCCATCCTGGCTACAACACTGGTAACGCACTTCGCCACGAAATCTATATTTATTATTAGGATGGTAAATACATTCTTCTTTAACAACTGCAAATCCTTTCTTATCTACATTATAATCTTTCTTACATCTACAACAATTCCTGGTAAAACCTTTAGGTGGTGGTTTTTTATTTTGTCCATAAATAACTGCTCTACCTCTTTTGCCATTTTCATGTGGTCTTGGAAAACCATTGTCTTTGAGTTGTTCTTCTGTTAAAATCCACTTTTGAAGGTTACTGTATAATTTTGCACCTCTAAATTCCTTTGAATTATCGATGTTATTTCTGTTTTTGTTTACTATGCTCCAAGAGCTTGTGGTTGTAGGTGTCAAGCCAGGTACTTTTTGTAATGTTGTACAGTCAGTACCTGATTTCTTTACACCTTTACACTCCACAAATTCTTTTCTTAATCTACTAATAGTTAATACTGCAGAATTCTTGTATATTTGAACAGTAGAGCACTTTTTGCTCGTATTCAATTCTTCATGTTGAGCTCTTGCGTAAGCATCTGTGGGTGTAAGATAGAGCTTCAGACACTCATCTATCATCATGTTAAGATATTTGGATCTAATATTTGCAGGAATTTTCGAACCAAGTGGTGCTAAAACACCAGGTCTGTCAATGAACTTCTCATTAGGTATATGGGCAACTCTCTGGACACCTTTTTTAACAGTTTGTGTTATGGTAGTACTTGTTGAGGGCTCACTTTTTACACTATTCTGATTAGGTGTTATAGTTTTCTTGACATTCATTAGGTTAGAAGCATAAGGCACATGTGCAATGCGAATCTTAGAATGCCCAGTTGTAGGAGGGGCAAATGAAATTTTTGAAATGGGAGCTGGGTCAGGATTTGTAGGTGCATTAGTGTTTCTTGCAGTATGATATTCACGAACTTTTGCTAACCTTTCTGCCATCTGCTGAGCCGCACTTATTTTGAAATCAGGTTTGATAGGTGCTTTAGGTGTAACTTTAATATTCTTATCAATTGCTCTTGAGATCCTTTTCTTTCCTGGTATTGACTCTTCCTCTAAGGATTCGTCTGGTTTCATAATCTCTTCAACTATTTTAGGCTTCTCAATCGGAACATACTCATCAAATATTCTTTTACACTCCATAGCTATAGCTTCTTCATCAGATTCTAAATCTAATTCCTCATTAATTAGTTCTTCATCAGGAACATCATCATCAGAAAGGTTACTAATAATTTCACTAGCCTTTTGTTTGCTGTTGGATTCTTTTGAACTTTTGTGACCTTTCTTATCACTTTTGTCTTTTGAGTGATGTCTTTTAGATGAACTGTGTTTCGAGTGCTTAGAACTGGAATCTGATTCTTTAGAAGTAGAATGTCTCTTTCTGTCAGAAGACTTTTTATCAGATGACTGCTTATCTCTCTTATCTCTACTTTCTTTTTCTTTAGAAGTTTTATGCTTAGATTTAAGTTCAGAACTCTTCCTTTCGTGTTTACTACTAGAAGAATCTTCAGATTTAGAAGACTTATCTTTCTTGTCAGAGCTACTTTTTTGATAAGATCTGCTATTATGATTTTTTTCAGAACTACTTTTTTCTTTTCGATTCTCTTTATATTTATTGCTATTTTTATGATTACTTTCTTTGGCTTCACTAACAATATTATCTTTCTTTACTTTATCATGGTCCGACTTTTCCTCATCTAATATTTGATCCAAAATATCAAATTCAGGACCCAAGTCATCTAAACCATTTAAGTCTGCTGATAATTTTTGTTTCTTAATATCAGGCTCATCTTCATCACTAGAAAAACATGGAGCAAGGGCTCTTGGTGTTGGTTGATAAGTAACTGTCTGTGTTTCAGTTTTAGTACTAAGTTTGGTTGGTTTATATTCCAATATTTTCTTTTTATTTACATTTTTATCTGATGGCACATAGTTTCTTTTACTCGAGCTCGTTTTAGAACCTTCATGGGGGTTATATTCTTGTAATTCAGTCTCAGTTCCTGGTAAATACTTCTCTGTAGACACTGTTGAGCCTGTAGGTGTGTATTTATCACATTGTGCAGCTTCCGTACTGCCTGGGGTATACTTCAATGGAGGAGGAATGTAAATGAAAGGTTTGGAAGACCCATTAGTATCGCTAGGTCTTTGAATAGATAAGCTAGCCGGTTTTCTTGGAGTATAAGGTACTGGAATATGTCGTCTTCTTTGTTCGATAGCTTCTTCATTTTCTTCAGTTTCAGGGTTTGTGATTTTCTCCAATTCTGATATTGGAGTGGGATTGTATGTCACTTTGGCTACACCCTGAACCAAACTTTTGTTGTTATTCTCCAACTCTGTTGAGGCCGCAGCTGTAGATGCCTCTGTTTGTTGTAGAACCTTTTGAACTGCGGCTGACACAAGTTTTTGTAATATCGCTCCACTTTCAATTCCATCGCTTTGTGTACTTAGAGACTCTTTTTTAACGTGTCGAAAATGACAATAAGGTCTCTCACAGAGACCATTATCATAGAATGGGCAATTATTTCCTTTGAAGTACCCAGTCGACGGAAGCATTCTTATGTATAATTTTCACACAATCCACGGAACGTAGTAAGAACATAATCAACTAAACTCATTCAATTCATTCTTCTTCATTCAAGAATTTAAAGTATCATTCTACAAAAAAGTGCAATATTTATGTCATTTCGTTCAATTTTTTCCAGCATTTATGTTTGTAACTTGTAACATAATTTAAGTACATATTAAATTAGATTGAAAATTATAAACTGTAAATAAAAAGTTCATAAAATATTTAAGATTATATTCTCGTTTCGGGAACTCTCTTCTTTCTGTAACTTACTTTTTAAACTTTATATTTCGTCCAAAAAAAAGGAAACCTTACGAAATACGAAGTCAAATGATGTCACGGTTCTTGCTCTGTGATGTGGAGAGGTGGGAAATATTCAAGGCAAAATGTTCACCTATTTCCCAACGCCTTTTCGTTATGCTCAATATGATGATATCTTGCTTCCAGTTACATTTTACCGCATAGCAAATCAGTTAATGTACTATGGAGTTGTTTATTAAAATTTGCCGTCTATGCCCATCTTCCTTTAGAGAGCTCTCAAAACTTGTGTCAGATATTATTGATAAGCTTGTGAGTGTCATTGAAAATTTGTTTCCAGATTTCGAAGGTACGTCAAATTCGGGATAAACGCAAAATGTTAGAGGAACTAGTAAAGGATTACTCCGCATATTTAAAGTTGGATGTTTTAAATGGCTTTCAAACAGTCCAAGATGTTGTTGACAACATGTTAACAAGACTTGAGGAACTAACGAGTGTACTGCAGATGGTGAAATTAAAGAACGGCGATTGTAGCTCTGCTGTAGCAGAAGATATAAGTACATACCGTAGTGAAATTACTGCTCTTTCTAAGAAAATTACAACATTATTAAATGTTATACAAAAACTTCATAACAACATAGACCTAATTGAAAAACAAGTAGACAAAGCTGAATTAGATTTTGGAGTAAACAATGACAACAGAATTAAAAGTTTCTTGAAGCCTTTCCTGAAGAGAAATAAAGAGACTGTCCTGCCAACTAACCAAGTATTATCATATGAAAAAGTAAATTTTGTAAGTGTTCTGGACAATTTTGAAGATCAGAAGCAATAAGTAATATTAAATATTACTTATTGTATAATAATTGGTAGATAGTTAGGTACTTAAGGTAGCTTAAGGTGGATATTTAGTTCTAAGAGAATTAGTGGTAACAATTGTGTACCAATACCGTTTACTATTAACTTATCCAAAAAAAATCATGAGAGTGTAGGTTTTTTTTTGTTACCTTTTCAGTTGGATATATCTTGGACTTAAAGTTGAAGGACTTGAAGTTATCCTGTTTGTTATTAAATTTTTTTTTAATATAATGTACTGAAATGTCTAGCAATTCTTTTATAGATAAACATATATATAAGAAAATGACAAAATTTACATAAAATTTAAATAAATAAATATAATTTGTAGTCTCTTCTAAACAGTTTAGAGAGATGAATGGAGGTGCTACATAATTAAGAACTCATATTGTAAGTAAAACATGTTTAATGAATACACCAATATAACATTCTTATGATAAATCAGTGAAAATCACAATAAAACACTTACACCTTATCTTAACAGTGGCTTTTACAATCTTATCAAACATACATATTCTTCATAAATTTGAATTCTTCGTGTAGAATGAATAATATACACATTGTACTAAGTTATTTGGGGTTGACTAATACTATTTGCAGATCTATCTTTACTATGCTTACATAAACAAATACAACCGCAATACTAGTATAAAAACAAGAAGCCTTTGATGAACCTTTTATTACCTGATATAATAAGTTACAAAAGACTATTACACAGGCATTGACTTTATTTATTTGTTGTAATCTGTATATGTAAACTATTTTATGTTATGTCTTAATGACAATATAGGTTATCATATGTAAAGAATATTAATTTCCTGCCGTCCTACAAAGTTAGCTGAACAGAAAAGATAATATAGTACAAAGTATATGCCTTAAAACTGACATTCCTTATGTTTTACACTTGAAATTTTAATGTGTTATTAATAAACATTATGAAGAAAATTTATTATTTATTTGCCTGTAGAGCCAAACCCACCCTCACCTCTGTTAGTTTCTGAGAGATTAGTAACCTCTTTAAGTACAGGGTAGAAAATTCTTTCACATATGAGTTGAGCAATCCTATCACCCTTCTTTACAATAAAGTCAGTGTCAGAATGGTTGAACACAACCACACCCACATTTCCTCTGTAGTCTTCATCAATAACACCCGCTAAAATGAAAAGAAATCTTTAAGTTAAATATTAGAAAATTTTACAATGCATAAAATGGGTTCAATTTACCTCCAAACGACATTGGTTATGTTTGCAGATCTTTATTAAAACTAAAAACCTATGCAGTTACTGGTTTTTACTTATCATATCTCTGGCAATCTTTTGTTTGTTTTATAATATATAACATAACTAATATAGCTTAACATCTTTCAAGAATATGAAAACCACCAAAGATTATCATCTCAGTATAACCAGTCACATCAATATCTAGGTTTTAAAATATTGGATAAGCTAAAAACACAGACTTTAATTATTAAAAGAAGCTTTCAAAAAATCAAAATGAACTATTGAAATGTAAAACTAGCTAACCTGACATATTATTATGTTAAACCTAACTATAAATTCATTACTAGATATTATAAACTCATAATCTGAGTATACACATGTAAAAAAGCCAAGAAGTAACATTTTATAGAAATGTACATATTTATTATTATATGTATATAATAATAATAATAACAACTTCACACATGTTAGACACGGCTGTATGTCTCAAAACTAGGCAGAGCCTGTACTATGATATCCAGACTGCTAACTCACATATATATCTAAACAAACATATATTATGTATATGTATGTTTGTCTATATCACACCCAGACCCATAGTGCTCATCTCACATTTATTTGTCCTGGGTGGGAATCGAACGGCCAACCTATGGCTTAGCAGGCAGGATCACTATCCACCAGACCTACAGGCTAATCGCAATAATATTTTTATTTGTCATGCACTAGTAGTTTTAAAACATTATTTAAAACTAATATGTGACAAATTAAATCCTACATATTACTTGATGGCAAGTTCTTAATAATAGGATTATTTAGAGATTAAATTGAGAATGTCCAGATATTTTACATTACTATAGTAGGGTTTTAATAAGTATGTACATTTTGTAGGATTTCTAAAAGATACACCTTTTACAATATAATGACGGGAATGTTTTCTGGAATTGCAAATTTATAGATTTATATTATTTACCTAGTATGTGACAAATTAAACCTTTACTTATAACTTAATAGGCATTTCTGAGCATAGATAGATAATTATTTTAACAATAGTAGTATCATTCATGGATATGTAAGACAAATTAAGGGTGGACTTATTGCTTAACGTTTTCTAGGCAATTTCATTACAATATGAATATTCTTACCTCCAACGTCAATAAAGTTCTTGAGTGCTAATCCTGAACGTGGAGCTACTCTCCCGTAACATCCAGAAGGTAGTTCAATTTGCAGGTCAGTTTTCACCAATTCTTTGCCTCGAGCTGGTACCACGTAATCATACGCGCTGTAAGGTAATATTAACTTGAAAATAAATAAACTTGTAACATAATAATAGAAACATGTAACAGATCATTCAAAGTGACCTCTTCAGATCAAAGCCGGCTGCTTTTTCAGAACCCTTCATTGGTGGAAATGCATGTTCACTTAGACGAGTGTACTTCAATTGTGCTTCTAATCCCGATGACATTTTGAATAAAATTAACAATTGCTTAAAAGTTCGTAGAATATTGACTGATTAGCGTAAACTAGACCCAAAAATTGTTGTTCGAAAACGTCAATAGGTTACCGTCGGTCCCGCCAAATTTCACGCATTTATGGCATATTAGTAGGATAAAGTAGGATTGCCAGATCAAAATCGAAACTCATCATTAGTTTTCACATGCTATTAATTAAAAATTCCGTGTCGAGCAATGGCAAAAATATATCAAATTAAATTGTTTGGTTTATCATGAGATATCTTATACGTATTTTTAAAGGAAAGTGCCATTTATTTGTATAAATACACTTAAATTAGATATATGTAAGTAACAGAAAATCTACAGTAGGTAATTAACACCAGTTATTATAAATAGGATGTAGAATATTATGATGACTTTAAAAGAATATGGAGACCCTCCTTATTGCCTGTTGATTTAATAGACTGGTAAAATATCAAAACATAACAAATAAATACTAATGAATAAAATAACTTTTATTTATTAAAAAATTTAAACGTTGCTAGCATATTTTATTAGAAAAACTAATAGATGTTCGGCATCCGGGACAATAACGTTTAATTACTGGAGACGACTCAAAGCGCAAAATCACGGGAAATTCCCGGATTTTCCGGCCATCGGGCATGCCTACCTATCACGGCATAAACGGCAAACAACAAGTCATTAAGACCAGCAACGCGCTCGTGACTCCTGAATTGCATGGTCCATGGTTGTGGTGGTCACTATCTATCAGGTCACAGGTGACCTATCTGCTTGTTTGCTCTGTACACCATAAAAAGTTTTAAACACTTTTTATAATAATAATTGTCCCTTAAATTTTGTAGAGAGAGATGTTAAAACTAGCTGACATTTCAAAAATTTAATAAAAAAACTTGACAAGCAAATATCTTTTGTGATGTCATGTATGAAGATAAACGATCAATACAATTAATTAAATTACAAAACAAACTGCATTAAAAGTGTATAGTAACAACTTACATTGTATATTATTAGCTAAATTATATTTTAATATGTCAATTATTTATAACTTACAATTGAATTACTTACCCACGAGTGGTATTTAAATATGCACTAACAGAGTAAAAAGATTGTTCAATAAGTCATTTTCGTAACTGACTTGTAAATAGACGATTTGGTGATATTTTATATCATTTGGCAATTGGGTAGGTACACATACATCGCTTAGAGACAGAAGTTGGTGGTTCCAAAATATTTTTAATCATCCTTTTTTAGTTCGATGAAAAATTATCATATTTTAACACCTAATCTTGTGAAGATGAAAAAAAACACTCATTAGTAACAAACCAAAACAAAAATGTGCTAGCATCCAACTTTTGGCTTATCCTCAGAACATTATTACCACATAAAACTATATACTAAATCAAATCAAATCTTTATTTGCCAACCAAGTGTACATTAATGGTCTATATAAAATGAATACTTTAGATGATATTATAGATTTAAAATGCGGGGGCCCAACGACCGTCGAGCCGTACGTCTGTCCCGGGTATAGATGTAAAACAACCGATTTAATACGTTTTAAATAAAATGTTGCCGTTTTAAACCCCAAATAAATCGTCTTAAACGGTTGAAAACGCGCCTACAAAAATAAAAGAACTGAGTTTTACACTTCATTGTGGGCAATTTTTGGTCACCTGACGTCATGTTTCATTTTAATTAGTTTATAGAAAATCAATAGAAAGTACCTACCTACATTACCTACTACACGAAAACTTAAGTATTTAGGTATACATACATATACTTATTTATTATATTATATTACACCAAAATATGTCAAAATGGGCTTTTAAAAGGCCCGACTGTAGTTATTGTCAGTTGTTAGTAGGCTCCATGCCTCTATACCCGTCCCCCATTGGTATCCGCTCCTGGAGTGAGAAGCGTGAGTATAGCGGCGCGGCAGCCGCGCGCTGTAGTTTATGTACGATTATGTGCATGTGTGTGCAAGGTAGGCTAGCTGGCAACGTTGCGTCGAGTCACGAGTGACAAAGTCGACGAGAGTGTGTTTGGTTTTAAACCGAATCAAATTGATTATTTATATCCTTTGAAAACAACGAAAAAAATGTTTCCCAACACAGAGATTTCTTGTCCTCAATTTCTCTACTACCAGGATCCCGAACCAGAACCAGCCCCAGATATCTCATCGAGAGCTCGATGTCTTTGCAAGTGCCTCCTACTATGGAGCTGAATCCTTTAGATGACACCTTCCAAAGCTCATGGAGGAACAAGGTCGCCGAATTCTTATGGTGCGCCTCACCACACGCCGTCACGAGCGTGTCGTCCGCGTAGTACGTGACGGCGACACCATCCGAGAAGGCACCGAGGAACATCCAGTCGTAGCCGATGTTCCACAGGAGTGGCCCTAACAGCGACTCCTGTGGATTACCGCACGACATTTCATGCCGACCGCGACCGAGTCCTACTTAGGTAGATGACGGTTTCGGACTCCTTCTTATACCCGGCCTTCAAAAGCGCGAGCTACTAGCGCTTAAAGGGGACTTAGCAGTTTTTGTCGGTGCACAAATTCTGAAAGCTGCTTGTATACACAGGCCTCGAGCACTTTAGACAGGAAGGGAAGAATAGAAATGGGTCGGAAGTGTTCGGGTAATGAAGGGTTACCACAGCATTACAGTGGATACATAGGATAATCTTCTTGATGTCCCCAGAAGGCACCGGGGAAAATTCGAATGAGTCGATACTGGGACTGGTAAGACCAGAAATGTAGTTCAGCGTTTGATCCTTGGTTTGTAAAATATGGACTTTGTTGTCCACGTCGGTAGCTGCTGCCACACTCGTCCAATTTATCTCCGCGGAATCTGCATGTAATTTATCCAGATCTATGCGCCGAAAACTACGAATTTGTAGCATTTTCGGAGGTGATTTAGGAGGTTTCAGGATATAAGATAGGAAGATCAGGTCGTGATGGGAAAAACCGGGGGCAGGAAGTTGACCGTGGGAGAAGACAAGGTTTGGGGAAGAAGTGAGCATTAGGTCAAGCCAGGTGTCCTGGTGTTGGATGATATGATGAGTGGCTTGGAGGGGCAGGACGTGGAGACTGGTTGATTGGATGATCTGAAGGAGATTGCGAGCACGGGAAGAGTTTAAGGCTAGGAGGTCAGTGTTAAAATCTCCCATGATGATGTGATGTGAGTATTCTGATTGTCTGTTTCATTGTTGGATAGAATTACGGTGAAGCCTATATCTGAAACTGGCACGGGGTCGGGGTCTTCCGTTGTCACTGGTTTATTCCCAGTAGACATGGACATTATTTTTACTTTTAAATCATATTCATTTGATTAACATAATTGGTTTTAGTCACAGCGATTCCACATGTGATTGTGATTTCGTCATAGACAAAGATAAAAGGCATTAAATTCAAGCAAAATTATTTTTGAATCTAATCTCTCAGTGTAGGTATGTGCGAACTAGCCGGGTCATAACAGCATTTCCACTATAATTAGTGCGATGGAAAGGTACGTTAAACAAATGCGTATGTCTAATCCCTAAATTCCGCGTACTGAATTCGACAGCTGAAAGTAGCTAACAACAGTCAAGCCCACCACGCAGTATATCAAAAAGTAGTAACCTATCTAGCATCATACGCCTTTCATTAAGGGGAAAGCAGGTGATAGTGTTTACTGTCAACGGAGTAAGAGTCAGGGCGCTTCTTACATTTAAAGTGAGGAATCTTCGATGGGAAGGTTCAATGATATTATTTATAAATCATATGATTTAAGACATGTTATTATGATTTTATTCCATCCCTAATGCCCAGTAGTTCCATGAAACCAGTTCTACATGGTACTGATTAGACATGGAAAGTATTGATACTTCTAAATCATATTCATTTGATGAAACGATTGGTTTTGCTCGCTGTGATTTCAACTGTGACAAATCTTTGCATAGATTTGGTCATAGACGAAGATTATTGCGATCAAATTACTGTTTTTTTTTATTTAGTCCTTTCGCATGTCTGACGCTAGCGTAATAAAAATAATTAGTCGTAGTGATGTTATAGATGAGTCACAAGTGTCATGTAATAATTTTTAAAATCATATGATTAATCACATCAGATTGTGATAATATCCCATGCCAAGTAATGATGTAATCTTAAAAATGCGAATTTTGTACCATTTGTTTCATGCAATTTTATACTACTGTTATAGCTGACTGGTGTGACACATCCTAGAGATTAAAAACCATAGAAATCGTAATAATAAGACACTAGAAGTCGCATAGACACTTGACCTTGTCACCGCAATGATGTGTAGACGAACACCACTTACAGAAATTCACACCATTCGTGATTTAATTGCGCGGAGCGTCGTATCGTATGTGAATTTAAATTGTTAAAATGACGAAGTGCAGCATAATAGGTTATGAAAACGCATCAGGGACGTGTCATTCAACTAATACTCATTGGGCATACTCATTGGGCGGGGTTGGGTGTGCTCCAATAGGCCAAGATCGCCTGGAGCAGATCCTCCTGTCCGGAGGGCGTGCACGGCGAATGGTCATGGGGGAGAGTCGTGTAGATCCCCATGGCAAGTCTGGGTGTCATCCTTCTTGCCGCCTGTTTTAGGTCTGATTCCCTACGAAACAGATATAACAGAAACAACCAGACGCAATTCCATCCCATAAAACCTATCCTTTCCTATTATGTCTCCTATCCACACCTTCTGCGGACATTAAGTGGTTGGTGCCTGCGGCCTCACTATCAACAGAGACTGAGAGTGAGGGGGGGGGGGGGGCCGGGAAGCAACCACCCGCATCTTTGTGCCGTGTGCGGGGACCCGTAAGGGAGGATGAAGGGATCCTGGTAGTTGAGCCGAAAGGTAACACACTGCTTTGGCCTGAATTTCTCCTTACACGGGAGGCTGAAGGCTAAACACCTTTGGTCAATCGGCTGTAGTATCGCGTCAGAGGGTTGCTGGGCGAGAGCTCTTCTTTGGTG